ATCAGATTCTTTAATAACCATTTGTTGGTATGCGTCTTTTAAATCTATTTTCGAAAAAATATTTTGAACCACTAATATTTGCATATAAATGTTCTATTTTTRGRAGAGGGTATTCAGTYCYTTCTAATACCGGATTTATTGTTATTTTAAAATCACCGCAAATTCTAACCGTGACGTCTGATTTTAATATTGGTACTATTGGAGTTGCCCATCCATTTATATGACTGAACAGTTGATGATATAATCTTTTTGAAATTACGCTATGTTGTGAACCGGTATCAATTTCGAAGCTTACATTATTGTTTTGTACGATTAAATTTACTGTAAACGGTTTCACCGCTTTATTTCGAGAATTTTGATCAATTATGGAAAAAAAAGTATTTGAAAAATCATAACTAACTGTTTCGTCATCATCATTATTATCATACAAAAATTTATTTTGTCTTTTGATATTTTTCTTTTCTTTCTTACCCTTTTTACATACGGTGGACAAATGACCYTTTTCACCACAATTGTTGCACTCGAAGTCCTTAATTGTTTCTGTAGTCTTTTGAAAGCGATTGGAACGGCCACAAATCCCGCATTTGATTTTTGATTCCTTGTATGTATTGAACCCCTGCTTGGCAGTATGTCCATTGTTAGTATAAACAGTATAATATCATATAATACAAATGCTGAATATGCAACAATTAAAAAAAAATATACGTGGCAAATGCTATATTGTAAATTATAGTAGAACCGATACAAACTTAAATATATTATATTTTCTCATAAGACTTAAGTACATAAAACACTAGTTAACTCTACATAATATTAATTTAAACAAATTTTTAATTACCTATTGTATAATGAAATAAAGACACCTATATTATATACACTTAGGTAGTTAGATAATTGATATGTAAAATATACATATTTTAAAATAACACAATATATTATGAATTATGTGTTATTAACTATTAAAACACAATAATTTGGTTTATATAAATAAAAATAATTTGAAAAAACAACTGTAAGAATYGTGCTTTATTTGAAACCTATAATTTTAGAAAATATTCATTGAGCTTATAAAAAAATAATTATTACCTGTTTTATATAGACTGTGTAGCCTTAGTGAATAGATAAAAATRTGTAAAAATATAATACTTTTTTCCATTTTATTTTCCCCTTGGGTAGTTATTGATATATACACAACATTTTTGGAAAAAGGAAGCTATGTATATCGTATGTAGACATAACGTAACTATTAACATTTTTTTCAAATTTAAAACATAATTTTATACTATTTAGTTTCTTGTCAGTTGTCGATATCCTGTCATAGTTTCTACAGTATATAAACTGTTTCGTTACTATTAAAATAAACACAAACTAAAATATAGTCAGTATACACCTATATCGTATTACATTTCTGAAATATAATCATACAATGTACATAAATATACAGATAAACAGTTTAAAAAACAATTTAATTTTCAATTAAGTTTTGAACTCAACAAYACGGTTTAGTACAAAAAATTACCGTAGTCATCTTGAAAGATAAACTAATTTTAATAACATCAAAATAATACGACCTGAAATTTATGTTTTTTCACTAATATAAGATATTAGTAGAAAATATAAAACTAATAATAAATGTATTGCACGCAACCTATAAATTTATAACTATAATATATTATAATAATTTATTTAAAAAAATTATAAACACCAAAAATGCATCATGTTCTCATCACAATGAATAACAATTATAATATCTAAAACTAATTATAATAATAAGTTTACTATCATACTGTTAAGTTTTTATAAATATTAAATGTTCACATTTGTATTGATTATCATCGACATAAATGACAAATAATTTTTACCAAATAAAAATAGTGCATTCAAATGTGTAAAGTAAATTATGTCGACAAAGAAAATTCTAATTTAAATAAAATACAT